AAATTATATTTATTTTAAAAAAAAAAATCAGCTCGGCTTGGCCTCACTCGAATCTGATTTTTCGATGTTTGAGTTAAATTTTCAGATCATACCTATTTTTGTTTATTATAAATAAATATAACTAAAAATATGAATGACTTAGTATGATATACCGAAATATCGAATCATATCTACATTGTTTTGAAACTTTCGTTCTATTAAAAAATAGACTGATATCGTACCAAAAAATCAGTATACTAAAAATTTGGTAACAAATATATATACCATACCGTACTAAAAATTCTGTATACTGAAAGTATCAGTATATACTGTTTCATACTGAAATATCAATATGAAAATAATTTTATAATTTAAGAAAAAAATAATTTTTTTATAAATGTATAGAAATATCGATATATACCAATATATCAAATACTAAAATATCAACATAATATATATTATTTTTTCGTTGTATACCGAAATAATTTTGGTAGTTCGATATATATTGATAGTGTCAAATTATATACTAATATCGTATAAAAAAATTTGGTATAATATCATATGAAACTGAAGTTTTTAGCATACCGTAACTTTGTGATTTTTGGTGCTTTTTTTTTCAGTATGATATGCAAGATATTTCGATAATTCGGTATTTTTTTTACTTCTAATTAAAAATAAATTATTGAAATAATTATGGGTAAAAATTTCACAAAAACTTCTAATATATTTCACTTTTAATATTATAAAATATACAATATAACAAACATTCACAAAATTGATAATATCTATTTTACATTCATAAAAAGTCAAATTATATACTAATATCGTATAAAAGTTTTTGGTATAATATCATATGGAACTGAAGTTTTTAGCATACCGAAACTTTTTGATTTTTGGTATTTTTTTTTTTTTAGTATGATATGCAAGATATTTCGATAATTCTGTATTTTTTTACTTCTAATTAAAAATAAATTATTGAAATAATTATGGGTAAAAAATTCAACAAAAAACTTCTAATATATTTCACATTTAATATTATAAAATATACAATATAACAAACATTCACAAAATTGATATTATCTATTTTACATTCATAAAAAGTCAACAATTCAATACAGAATATTATTATTTATTTACCGATATATTTTCACCTACCTAACATAAAAATATTTCAAACTTACAAAAATAAATAAATACATCCTAAATATATTGATTTTAGTTAGTTGAGATTTAATTGTTATTAGATTTTTTAATTATTTCCTTTTATATGAAAGTGGACGGAGGGAATATTAATCATTTTGCGACTAAGCGCGAATGCCCTTATTGTTTACCAGTCGTATATGTTTATTAATTAGAGTGTGGTCTTTTATCAAATTTTTATTATTTATTAAATTATTTTTAAAAAAAATACTTTATAAAATTAAATATTTTTATATTATATTAAAAATTAATTTTACATTCAAAATATTACATCAATATCAGACGTGTATTGTTAGGAAAATAATTACTTGTTTCTTGATCAATTGTAGAAACACGAAAACATGGTCGATCAACAGAGACTGTAATTGTGTTTATTTAGGTTTCAATTAAGAATTAAAATTTCTATCATAGGAAAATTCAACTAAATCAATTAAAGAGAGAAATAAAAACGAATTTATCAAAAAGTAGAACGCTCTAGTCCAAGGGTTGGATGAAAAATTAGATAATGGTTTTGATCATTGAATTAAGTAATCTAATAAATCTATTGATAAATTGGTTATAGGTATTCGATACGATCGAACACCCAATTTCTTCTAATTTTGTCGGTGGCAAAGGTACGACCAATTGACTACTCTCTAACCGAAAATACTAAACTAGGTACGACCATAGTAGAAATTCTTCAATTGAAAATAGCACAATTAAAACTCAATTTGAATATTTAATCAATTACGAAAGATTTTCTATTCGATCATGCAATTCCTAGGCTAAGCGCATTAACTTATTTACTATTTTATTGAATAAATACAAAATTATGGATGCAGTTATTCAATTAGCACACAATCAATAGACAGACTTAAAACTTGGCCACAATAATAAATCGCATCTAATTATTGTAAATACGGTATATAGAAATCGCACAAATACCAATTAATTGAAAGATTCGATTAAAACCAAAACTATCTCACAAATTCATAATCCAAAAAATTCAATCAAAGTTTATACTATAATAAGAAATTAACTACTAAACATATGTACACTCCAAAATTTGATCATAAGGGCCGGCCCAAGCTGGAGCCCAACCGAGGGAGAATACAAAGGCCCAGATTAGTAAAATGCGTGGTCAACGGAGAAACGGATAAAGCATAATTTGAAAAAAGAGTTTGGGGAGGTTGGAGAAAAATAAGGGATAAGAGCCTTATCCGAACCAAGTTTAGGGAATAAAAATGAGGAAGTTGAGACGCCATTCAAAAGCAATCACCTTCTTATGCATTAATTTTTATTCTTTCTGCAATTTAATTTCCTGCATTACTTTCAGACTTCTACAGTTTTTTTCCGTTAATTCCAATTTAATTTTTCAGCATTCATTCCAATTTTACCTCCTTCCTTCGTTAGTTTTTCGGTTATCGCGAGATAGCCCGGATCCTTTCTTGAGGAGGCCGGGGAACCCTACGATTAAATCAATTCCGACAGGCTTTTCCGATTAAGCCGTCAGTGGCGATTTTTCGACGACAACAGATTGGCACGCCCAGTGGGACACCGACGTCTCGCGACTCTTACATGCAACTTCGGAAAAGGAAATTGACGCCGCCGACAGTCGTAGAGATGTCAAAGAATAAGGAAACAGTCGGCGACTCTTCGTCGCATCCTGCGCACGAAGTACCCCCACGGGATGCGACCGCCGCCACGGTCGGAGGGTCTGATCCCATCGTCAGCCTCCCGGCCAGCGTGCTCCGCGAGCAAATTCGGGGAGAAATCCAATCTTCCTTCCACGAATCTTCTCTGGAAATATCCAGATACATTACGGATGTGCTCAAACCTATCATACGAACAGAATTCGCACTACTCCGGGAAGAAGAACTTCGAAAAGGCAAGGCTCCCATGACGGGTTCCGAGTCTTGGCCAAATCCTGTCTTCTCGGCTAATCCCGGAGCAGCGTCCCAGGCGCTCAGTTACGGTCATGTTTTGATCCTTGGGAAAACTGGATCCGGAGAACCTCCGGCAACCATCCGCAGGCTTGGGAAATCCAGCGCGGTAACAGGGCAGACCATGACGGGGCAGCCCCAGGCAGGAGGGAGTGCGATGACCTTCGGGACAGTGCTGCCCGCCTCGAATTGGCACCCGAACTTCTCGACAACAGGGACGGCGTTGAACATGCCGCCTCCTGTTTCAACCCCTCAGGGATATCCGATAGCCGACAAGGAATCGGCAACCCTTTGGGGGCAGGGCCGTCCGCAACTCCAGTACCTTCATTTGCCCCAATCTCTACAGGGACAGCTTGGGGATTAGAAGGTGCTGGGGGCAGGCCACCGCTGCCGACGGATCATTTGTTGCTGGTCACGAACCGCAGCGAAATTTTGAATTTACTGCTCAAGCCAACCCCGGTAATTTTCCGATACAGCAGACACCAGCAATGAGGGAAAATTTAGAGGCTCCTAGGTTTCGCTTCCCACCGAAGGAACCGATCCCCCAAGCTCCTCCACAGCCGATAATCCGGAACCCACCACCTATCCAAGCACCTCCAGAACAGGCTGGGGGGCAGGCGGAAGTGGTACCACCGCTCCTGAATCCTCAGGCAATCGAAGATGCTATACGAGGGATTTAAACGGAGACCCCATACGCTTACCGGCTAGACCTCATTACCAACGTCCTTTCCCGGGGTATATTCCTCTGGATCATCCACTACCTCGCAACGCTCAGATCCTGAATTCACATTATTCTCAGGAGAAGATGCCCGTTCTACGATCGAACACGTTAGCCGATTCACGGCTCAGTGCGAAGGAGAGTACGGAAACAACGATTGGTACAAACTCCAACTCTTCTCTTTGTCCCTTACAGGTCCAGCTTTTTCATGGTATACCTCGCTACCTCCGAATTCCATTCGCACCTGGGCGGACATGGAAAGAGTCTTCCACGAACGATTTTACAGTCCGTTCCCAGAAGTGACTGTCTCGGACTTGACTAATTTACGACAACGAGGAGACGAATCCATGGAACAGTTTCTGGAGCGCTTCAGAAGATCAGAAACTAGGTGCCAAGTCCGTATTCCAGAGAATCAAGTGGTTAATATGGCCATTGATAATATAACGCACCAGCTACGGGACAAACTCGCTCTCCAGGAATATCACTGTAACACCCCCAGTTGGCTCATACTGGAAATGCTACCGCCACACTGCATCATGAGGTCGTCACCTCCTACTTCGGGCCCCACAACACAGTGTTAAGGCTAAAATTAATTATATAAGCATTTTATTATTCCCAAAAAAACAAGTTTATAAATATTTACAAAAACATACTCCCAAAACGGGAGGTTTTTCTAGTTAGAATTTACATATAATACATCAGATGCAGTTCACTCATTCAGCCCGTCTTTCTATCTCCCGAGACGTCCCCTGTCCCGGAGGTGCCATGCGTACCTGAATCAAATATTTTTCTTAAAAGCAGTCTAGAATTAAATCCATTTTAAGAACTAACATAAAATATGCCATGTCATGCTCGAAAATAGAGTTTAATTTCCGTCATTTGCAAAATAAATGCCATGCCATGCCCATACTGAAATAATGTAACAATAATGTCAAAATCGACAACTCATGCACATATACCCATATACATATGTCAAAGTGAGCAGCCGGAATAACCTCGGCTCCATAATAACAGCTCACTAGACTATCATCAATAAATAGCCAGAAAATCCTCGGCTCAAGGAAGGACCTGGTAAACCCATAATAATATAACGGTCACCCGGTCACTCCCATATACCCACCATACGACTCCCGCAATCAATACATGGATAGTCGAACGTTGTCGCCATTAACCACAAGACACCCCATAGTCTGTGATAGCGAAGATAGGACCCTCCTGTCTAGCCCTACCCCGTGTAACGTAGTAGAATCCGTGCAACCTGGAATCACCCGAAGGAAACCCGGAAACTCTACTCCTCCTCGCACGCCCTAACGGGATCGCGTTTGGAGTTTGGCATCTGATCCTAAACTACCGGTAGACCTCACTAGTAGCTACTCCAATGAGTGGAACAACACCGAACCCGAATGATTAGACCAAATACGTCTCAACTGCAATGGGTCTAATCCCTGAATGACCGTGCGACTAAGTCACCCAGTTGCCCGACTACTATCGTCCACTATCGCCAAAGTGTTACGGTACATCGGGGTCGAATATCCTAACCCCAGATGATGCCCTCGCCTAGCACTACCGCACACGGCGACTAAACGATAGATCCATAAAACATATCCGATAAATCGTGCAATGTGTGCAGCATGTCAATAAGTGAATTTAATGAAAAGGGCTGGTGAGACGGCCCACCTATCCTCCTTTTTATAAATTCACCAACACGATCAAATACGTATATCAAATATCGTAAAACGAAGTTTCACACATGCATATACACACACATATATACATATATAGATGCACTGACCAAATGATTCCACATAATATCATATCAATATCAGAATCAGAATCACATGCAACATAAATACCTAATTTCTTAAAATTAGATTTAATTCCCTACTGCTTACCTCCTACCGATACTTTCTGGATTTTATAACTTCACCCAAATCTCCTCCAACGTACACCTGTCCCATTATTTACTCAAATCAGATGAGCTTTATGCTTATTCTCAGGAGCTACCTGCTTATTCAAAAGCTAATTTCTATAATTAACTCGTCGGGCTCCAAACTTTTATATTTAGTAGAATATGATATTCTAGCTATAAAATCCTTCTACCTCATAATATTTATATTGCCCGATTATTAAATAAAAATACGCAAAGGTATGAACAAGCAGGCAGGTGCGATATACTGCCGTTTTTTTATTCGACTTGGATTGGTACGAAATTCTCAAAATATAATGTCGGTGCTACGAATAGGCTATTAGCTAAAGAAATTCATCGATTAAATAGCTAAATAGCCAATTTTGAATTTTTGAAGAATTTCTAATTTAATACTCCAATATCAAAATTCGTATTAAAATTTATAATCGGACTCTACGAATAGCAAGGAATACCATACCCAAGTCGGAATTGGAATCGGACGGCTAAATCTTTTTCTTTCTTTTTTTTTTTTTTTTTCTTTCTTTCTCCTTCTTCTTCCTCCCTTCCTTCTCCTCCTTTGGTTCGTTGCTGCTGCTGCGTTGGATTCTTTCTTTCTTTTCATATTATATATATATATTATATTATTATTATTATTAAACGTAATATATTATTATTATTATTAAACATTATATATTATTATTATTATATTATTATTGTTATTAACGATGATGATAAGGTTCTTATCATCATCTACTATATTATTATTATATATATATATTATATTATATATTATATATTATATTTATATTTATATTTATTTTTAATTTTATCGATATTTATCCATTTAACAGTCTATTTAATTATAACTAATATACAAAATTGGAATATAATTTATCCCAAAATATTAGTTTCTTGATTCCATTACTATTGTCAAATATTTATTTGCTATAATAATATTATTTTATACATTCCGAAATCGGGGCATTACAATCACGATTTCCGAAAGTTGACCTCCAAAGCTGTAAAGGCTGAATATCTTGTAAGGGAGGCCCAGGCGGCGCGAAATCAAAAGTTTCGGAACACAAACCATTCTGTTTTTACCCCAGAGGAGATTCTCGAGGAGGCAGAGGAAGGAGAAGATACCTTCCTAGCGGAAATCACACAAGGGAAAGAATACGTGTGTCCAGCCGTTAAACCCCCTCAACGGAAAGACGTCAACCCAAAGCTGTCCTATTCTTTCGATATTGCAAAAACCAAATAGATCTTCGAGCATCTGCTGAAAGATAACCAGCTTCGCCTTAAAGGGGGACACATGATGCCATCCTAAAAAGAGCTCAATGGAAAATCATTTTGCAAATGGCACGGGTTATATGGTCACCAGATTGGTAATTGTATCGCTTTCCAAAATGCGGTTCAGAAAGCAATCAAAGAAGGCCGCCTCAAGCTGGCCGAGAGACCTGACATGAAAATAGACACAGAGCCGTTCCCTGTGCCGATAAATGTCGCCGGAATGCGTCCCGCTAGATCCAAAAAGGCCAGATCAGAGTTTGGAACAGGCAGCAGGGGAACAGGCCATAAAAAACCAGTATTCGAGAGACTCAGAAGGACAATCAAACCTCCGAGAAGGAATTCAGTGTGGGATAGACTTTCTCCCAAAAATACAGTCGCTGAAGTAAGCTTTGAAAAATTAGGGGAAATTTGGCGAGTGACGTCCGTAGATCAAGTGGTAATTACACCCCACCAAACTCGACATCCTGGAAAGGCTTCAGTCGACGGGAGTTGGGCACGAAATCATAAAGACCGGCCGAACCAGCTCCCTACCAGAACTCAAAAAAGAAGGGCCCAACGACAGCGTTTAGCCGCTCGCCTTGAGCAGCAGGCTGGAAGGCAGCAAGTAGTTCGTCATATAAAAGATACTAGTGTACAAGGCCAACAATCTGGAGGGAAGAAAGAAGAAAGATTAGATATGGACCCTGAGGATCTGCGCCATCACATCCAAACTCGGAAAGAATTGAGGCCAAGAGGAGTCTTTTCAAGGGTCGAGTTTCCCCAAGAGACAAATTTCACAGTGACGATTGGGGAAAAACCGATATCCGAAGACGAACCTAAGATTGACGCCCTCATGTACGACGAGGCCTCAGAAACCACTCTAGATATTATTGCAGACGACGGAGATCTGGAACAATCTAAAACCGATCTCGAAGTCGGAACAGTTGGCATATTACCTCGAGGGTTTGAGGCACCTTCATCCCAGTCTGATTTCCTCCAGGGGATATCCTGCTGGAAGAAGTCAGCCCATTGTATTGGGCAGAACAAGAACAGAACGCTTTAGGAAAGCTTCCAGACCCAGTGATTTTTCAGAAATTATCCGATGAGGATACCCGACACCTTAAATCGTTGTTTCTTACCGTTTATCTCGATGGAAAAACAATTAGTAAGGTCCTGGTGGATGGGGGGCATCGGTCAATATCATGACCCTGCCCACTTTGAGAAAGATAGGAAAAAATCGAAACGATCTAGTTCCGACATCATTGCGGACAACCAACTTCACTGGTAATGCACATACAACTGCAGGCGTTTTAGTAGCGAAGGTAACAGTTGGGACCAGAACGGATCAAATGGCCTTCTTTGTCGTCAAGGGGAGGCCAACCTACTCAGCTATTCTTGGGAGGGACTGGATTCATACCACCCAATGTGTGCCGTCTACTCTCCACCAGAAAGTCATGTTCTGGAATGGGAATCACGTTGAAACTGTGGAAGCCGAAACCGATCCTCCCATGGAGGTACATTCAGCTGAAGCCGTTTATTATTCTCCGGAAGTTTACCCACTTTCTATGATGCTGGAGGACGCAGAAAGATGGAAGAAGTGTAATCTAACCATAAAAGGGTTCGAAATCACAATAGAGGCCGACGAACGGCCTGACGACGCAGGCAGTCGTCATGTCTGACAACCTAATTATACGAGAGTGGGAGGCAAGGGCAGGCAGATCAGGTTGTCCATTTATACAAGGAAGTGATCTGGCCGCCCGATTGCCTGATAAGCAGGCAGGAGCGGTTCCCGAACCGCCTGCGTACGATCAAAACAAAGAAAACGTTCAGCCGTCGATCCAGAGGGCTACCCCTTCTTTCGAAGCTCAAGATCCTCTGGAAGAGGTTAACTTAGGAAGTGATGCAGCGCCACAGATGACAAGGATTAGCACCTTACTAGGCGGCAGCGCAAAAAAGAAACTGGTCGCTCTGATCCGTGAATTTAGAGACTGTTTCACATGGGATTACCATGAAATGCCAGGGTTGTCAAGAAGGCTAGTAGAACACCGATTACCCATCAAGAATTCATGCCGCCCCCATAAACAGGCCCCTAGGCGTTTCAACCCAGAACTATTGCCGAAGGTAAAAGAGGAGGTCGAAAAACTTCTCAAGGCTAATTTCATTCGAACATGCAGGTATCCAAAATGGATCTCCAATATCGTGCCCGTGCCGAAGAAAAATGGGAAGATCCGCATTTGCATTGATTTCTGAAACCTCAACCTAGCGACTCCAAAAGACGAGTATGTAATGCCAATCGCCGATATGCTCGTAGATTCTACGGCGGGATATGAAATCTTATCATTCATGGATGGATACTCGGGATACAATCAAATATACTTGGCCGAAGAAGAGACTCATAAAACGGCCTTTCGTAGCCCCGGGGCAATCGGAATCTTTGAATGGATAGTCATGCCTTTTGGGTTAAAGAACGCCGGAGCCACTTACCAAAGGGCGATGAACGCCATTTTTCACGACCTGATTGGCACTAGCATGGAGGTGTATATAGATCATGTAGTCGTGAAGTCCCGAGCCTTCGCTGATCATCTACTGGATCTTCGCAGAGCCTTCCTGCGAATGAGGCAGCATAACCTCAAGATGAACCCGGCCAAATGCGCCTTCGGAGTACAAGCAGGAAATTTCTTGGGGTTCTTGGTGCATCAAAAGGGTATCGAGATTGATAAAAACAAGGCTAAGGCTGTCCAAGACCTCGGGCCTCCTCGCAATATTAAGGAATTACAAAGCCTGATGGGAAAAATCAATTTCTTGAGGAGATTTATCGCCAACGCCGCTGGCAGGATGAAAGCTTTTTCTGCATTATTACGAGGAAGGAAAGACGCATTCGAATGGGGAGATGCCCAACAGCAGGCCCTGGACCAGATCAAGCTGGCGTTAACATCTCCGCCGGTGTTCATGCCGCCGATCCGCAGAAAAGGACTAAAGCTGTATATAGCCGCAAGAGACGATACAATAGGTTGTCTTCTAGCTCAGGATGATAACGAAGGTCGGGAACGTGTTGTTTATTATCTTAGCAAGACCCTAAATGAAGCTGAAACTGGGTATTCAGGCATTGAAAAGCTTTGTTTATCTTTATATAATGCCTGTACAAAATTAGAATTTTACCTGCTGCCTGTCGAAACTACAGTTATATGTAAAGTTGATCTCCTCCGCTATTTACTAAACAGGCCAGTCCTTCAAGGCCGTTTGGTTAAATGGGCGCTAAAATTAACATCGTTTTCATTAACATATCAGCCCCTCAAGGCCGTCAAAGGACAGGCCATTGCCAATTTTTTAGCCGAACATCCAGGGATGGTTCAGGCTACAGCGATAGATTATGTAGGGTTGGAACCCTGGACGGTAGCTTTCAACGGTTTTAGCACCATGAGGGCAGCCGAAGCAGGTGTGATAATCCATAACCCAGAAGGAGAGGTGTGGCATTTCGCGCACCAACTCCCGCAAGGCGTGACCAATAACCAGGCTGAATATGAAGCTTTACTGTTGGCTTTACGCTTTCTCGTGGCCCGAAAAGTCAGGAAGGTAGTCATCCGCGGGGGATCTCAATTAGTTGTCCGACAGGCCCTTAAAGAATTCAAGTGTAAAGATCCGTAGCTTCAGATCCTTCTTCGCAAAGTCCATAGTCTTTTGCAGCAGCTCACAGACGTAGTGTTAGAAGATATACCCCGAGATGAAAATGCGGAAGCGAACAACTTGGTACAGTAGGCGTCCGGTTTCAGAAAGGGACGCATGCCTCGGGAAATCGAATGTTCACAGATCGGTAGTCCAAGTCCGGATTGGCGAACTCCCTTGCTGGAAGGGCTAGCTGACCCCAGGGAAGGCCACGACAAAGGCTGAGGGATATCAGCTCATAAAATATACTCAAATCGATGGAGAACTATATCGACGAAAGTCGGACGGGACGCTGGTGCGCTGCTTAGGGTGCGAAGAAGAACGGAAGGTCATGGCTGAAGTCCACGAGGGTATTGGAGGCGCACATAGAGCTGGACCTACGATGAGATGGACAATACTTCGCTATGGCTATTTTTGGCCACGGATATCGCAGGATTGCATCAATTACGCATGCGGATGCCCAGCCTGTCAATGCCATGGACCCCTCCGGCAGATCCCCATGGAAGAACTCCATTCGAACGTTAAGCCCTGGCCTTTCTTGGGCTGCGCGATGGATGTAATTGGAAAAATCCACCCCTCGTCTTCTAAGGGGCATTCGTTCATTCTTGTGGCCACCGACTACTTCACGAAATGGACAGAGGCCATACCACTCGTCAA